GGCTTTCAGGGTCAGGGCCGCGGCGGCCAGCATCATGAGCATCAGCTGCATTTGCCTTTCAGAGTTAGGGCCGGGGCGACCAGCATCATGAGCATCAGCTGCATTTGCCTTTCAGAGTCAGGGCCGGGGCGACCAGCATCATGAGCAGCAGCTGCACTTGGCTTTCAGGGTCAGGGCCGGGGCGGCCAGCATCATGAGCATCAGCTGCACTTGGCTTCCAGCAGCCTCGAGCGTGCCTTGTGAGCACCGAGGGGGGATGTGAAGCATACATGCACAGCTGTACTCCTGGCAATGCACAAGTTTTGGTGTTCGCGTCGAAAATGTAGAACCTCCAAAATGACGAATGGAAGAGAAGAAGTTTTCATGCCAGCGTAAATCTTTCAGGAGTAGCATAAAGCATGACCTCATTCCAGGAGTAGCATAAAGCATGGCCTCACGTTTCCTACCAGCAATCCTGAGTTGCCCTTTTTTGAGTACTCGTGAATTGGGAAGAGTTACCAAAAAGTGCTACGTCCTAGTGGGGATGCTGGACTCACCTGATCTAGCTCTGTGCCTTGTAGCCAGGCCAACCTTCATGCCAACATAGCTGTCTGCCCGAATCTACAAAAACAGAAAACTCAATTGTGGCCTTCTGAAAGGAGCTCTCAAGGAATTACTCACATTTATTTGTGACAGTCACGTTTCATGGGCATGATTGCCAGGCATCCGGCGGTAGACAGCGGAGATGGGTTCGTCCCCTGGCTGTGTTGATTGGGAGTTGTAAGGATTAAAGGGATCCTGGGGTTTAGGGTCCATAGGGTTTTTGCTGGACAGGGGATTTGGATGTTTTGGGGATGTAGGGAATATGCAGCGAATCTATCGGTCAGCCAGTGCCAGACTGGCCGAACTCCCAAAGGTATGAAAAACTCAGACGCGCGGATAACAGGCAGGACACCGGTATCCAACCCTCGGCCACCGAACCTTAAGCCGTAGTCCGAAATTCTAATAATAGTAATGAGAATACTAATACTAGTAATAATAATTCCAATAGCAGTAATAGTAGTCATAATTACCTTTCGGCTTGGCTTTCCCCGAAGCATTTCAACTTGAAACCTTGTCTGTATAGTATATACTGCTACAAGGCCCTACAAGCCCTTCAATCCCATGTCCCTGATCCTTGGGCCCCGGACTGCGGAACAACAATCCGAAAGCTGCGAAGCCCTTGAAATCTGGCAAGTACTCCCCATACTAGACACCCTGTACCCATTAAATCCTGAACTCCCTAACCCCTTCAATCTTGTAGAAGCCCTGAGCCCGCCTCGTAGACCCTGACTTCACCCTAAACCCTAAATCCTGGACCCATGGCCACCCTTAAACCCTAAACCCAGACCCTGAATAAATCCAGGGCCACCCTTATCCACGCAGCCGCTGACTACGAAGCGCCCGTGGCAGTCCACCCGGCCATCGTTCAGGCGCGTGCGTAGGGCGGGCTCCAGCTCCTCATGGAAGGGTTTAGAAGAGCCCCTACACAGGGATTTTATAATCCCCCTTGAGTAGATATAGGGGTTATATTGGGACAATGGAAAAGACAATGGAAACTACTGTTTGCGGCTTGGGGTATAGAGTCCCCCTCTTAAGTAGATAGAATATGGGGTATATGGGGATCTTGTTACAATTAATAATTAATATACCCAAAGCCATATTCTATCTACTTAAGGGGGGCTGTATGGGGATGTATACGATTCACGGCCAGCGTCCGCAGCTTCCCATGCCCCAAAGTTCCCATGACCAGGCTAGTGCTCGTGGGGTACTGGGAGCTTGGAGGACCACGATTTCAGAAAGCGGGCCTGTACAGGATTCCAACAAAACCTGGACTTGCTGAAGCTCCTGGCTTCCACTGCGATGCAACGATGCAGGAATGACTCGAAGTGCCAAGTCTTCTTTAGCTGTTCGCAAAGTTTGCATGTGGGAACCCTTAGCCGCAGCGCACCAACTATGCGATTCTTGATGTGAGCCCAAGATACCGTGCAACCGAAATGCGCCAATAGGGATCTGACTTCTCAAACTGTGCTCAGGGAATGTCTCCTCAGTTATAGGGGTCAACTCTTCCGTCGCCGGGTTGAAGGCAAACATCCCAGTCTCCAAGGCAAGGATGTAGTCACCCGTTGTAGTGAGACAGAAGGACCTGGACCCAGTTGTTCTTTCCAAAATGCTTGCAAGTAACATGCAAGTGCGTGGCAATATGAAACATAATGTCTCACATCTCTTATAGCGAGCATGCCTAGGGCCTACGGCTTATGATGCTACAACGTCACGACGTCGGGCTGCACTGTTGTACGCAGGCCGGCTAGGCTTGGCATCAGACTCTTAAAGCTCCAGTTACAACTGTCCATGAGCCTCCTAGTGACAGCCCTAGACCCTATAAACCACTAAGATAACCCCAGTTTACATCTTGCTTCCCATCTTCTTTTCCATATGATTCTCCATTATTGGTTTGATCGCGGGTAATATCCCCATCCCTAAACCCCAAACCCTAAACCCTAAACCCGAAAACCATCTACTCCAGGTCCGGAGGACCCGGGTCGACTTGGAAGGTTGAAGCTCTTTGCATTCCCTGCCGGGCCGTTGGGGTCATGCTGCCACAGGCACTTCCTTGGCTTCAGGGCTGAAGCTCTAGGTTTAGGGTTTAGGCTTTAGAGGCTCTAGGTACCTAGAGTAGAAAGAAACTACGTGGAGTAGCAGAGAATAGAAGCAAATTATGGTGCGTGCCGCGGGCTTTTTTCAACCGCTCTTTCGGCACACTAGCTTACCTGCATCGCAGCATGCTTGAGTCTGCAACCGCCCTCGGTGCTGACCCTTCATACGCAGAAGAAGCAGACCCACTCTGGGGATCATGATCCACAAAACTCTTGCTCTTGTCGTAAGTAGCAACAAAAGGACAGTCTACAGTCCCCCTTGAGTAGATAGAATATGGGGTATATGGAGATCTTATTAGAATGTACCCAAAACCATATTCTATCTACTTAAGGGTGACCATACTTGAAGAACCAGGCTCCCCTGGATGTCAATCCAGCAAAGCAGTTGGCCTCGGCACGCGGAGCCGGTACGTGCAAAAGCTTCAAACAATGATGTAGATGTAGAATGTGGTTGAGGGTCTGCAAATCCCTATCGTATACCCCAAACCCTATCCTAAACCCCTGCCCTTTGGAATGGGGACTCGTTGGGTGCGTCTCTCTTCCATGAACAACATCCTGGAAGATTGCTTGACCTGGAGCTTCCAAGGCAGAACGCGAACATGTTGTCCATCACAAAATCACGCTACCAAACCCTGTCTGGAGGAACCCTGGCAGCCTGTATAGCCTTACATTCTCCTTGTAGATGTAATAACTGGGATAAGGGGAAGCTTTTGAAAGCGCTTCCAAACTGCACGATAACTGTCGCTGCACCCCGTAGATGGGTTGATTTCTTCACTATCCCTTCAAGGCAAGCTACCCCTGAAGCCAACAGAACCGTAAATTCTCAAGCGCTGGCAAAGGTTTATGCCCTCTTAAGCACTAAACATTGGTAAAGGCGCGCTGGTCGTCCCAAAGCGGGCACTCCCCTAGCTTGTTACCGCAAGGCACGCACAGCCTCAGCTGTAGCTGCAGGCTCGTTTAAGCCCCACCTGGTAATCGTCTATGATAAGGGTAAATGTGCAACTACAGTCAAAGGGTTTTATACATGCTTTACAGGATTTACAGGCTTCAGGGTGGTGAGGTGAATTCAAGGGTTTGTGGTTTGCAGCAGGAGCCCCACAATATTTTCTAGGTAAGAACGCGATGTAAAAATGAAGGCTGTAGGCTGCTCCAATAAGAAACGTATTGTAAGAGAAAGATATCGCGCTTAAGCACAGCGCCATACTTGCTCGACGGATTATGACACCACCCCCTGAGAGCTCCACTACATCCAGATGCTTAGATCAAGTACTCCTGAAGGTGTACTGGCAGGTTACTGCAGTAGAGGCATGGTCGGGATGTGATGGGTTCCGACGCCCCCTCCAGGGCTCCAAGAAA